TAGGGTAACACCGAAGTGACTTTATTGGGGGGGCCTTTGGCAAGGCATGTCAGTTTTCCAGGGAGAGGAACGGTGATTCCCAGTGAACCTGATTTCCAAGCCCTCGCCAGCACCTAGTTAACTGGTTTTGCCGCACTCTCAGGCTGCCACTAAATCCCTTGTAAAGTAGGCAAAACTGGTCACTTTGAAGGAGAAAACTGCAGCACGTTGTGAGGAAGACCTTTGACTGCTTGCACAGGAACAGGCAGGGAGCGGCCCCGGGACACAGGGCCAGGCGTGGCGAGGGCCAGCCCGGGAGAGGGGTGCTGGCAGCCTGTGGGCTTCCCGGGGAACCTCAGTTGGATCAGCAGCTGTGGCCTCAGGGAGGGATCTGGGCGTGGGTTCTGTTTTACAGCCTTCACGAAGCACACGGCAAGGCAGCCACGTGAAAGTGCGGCCAGCTGAGATAGTGCAGTGCCACATGCTAAAAGCTTCCGTGAGAATAACCAGGGTGTTCGCTCAGACTCCAGCTCATCAAAGCATTTGACTCAGAGTAGAGTAAAAAGGAGATTGGTGATCGGCTTGATTATGCTATAAAAATACCCTTTAAAGGGGAAGTGTCTGTCTGCTGATTTAAGTGTTCTACAGAGGCGATGCTCCGTGTGCTTGAGGAGTGAGGAGATGCAATAGCTGACATCCTGTGTGCAGTGTCAGAGCCATGGAAAAGCCGAGGTTTTGCACATTTCTGTCTATCAAGGATGCTGTTATTCCAGCCACTGCCTCTCTTGGCCATGTCATTGAGGGATCTAATGTCTCAGTGATGACATTACCTGACTGACGTTTCCTGTTTGTTTCATTTTTAATAACAATTCTAAACACAAAGCATTTTGCACTTTACAGCCATATCAATAGCAAACTAATGAATCTGCTCACACCCAAATGAGCTATACGATGTCATTGTTGCATGCAAGGACAGAGTGACTTCCTCAAGGCTACAGTGAGTCAGTGACAAAGGTAGAATTATGTTCATGGTCCTAATTCACATTCATTCCAGCAGACCATACAGCTCTGCACACCTGGAAGGTTTACAAAATCATCAGGAATTATGGGCTAATTTTGATAATATCTAAATTTAATGCATAAATTTATTCCTTGGTGGAGGAGAATATTTCGAAGGCTTCCTTACTGTTACCTTGTTTTTTACCTGTTTTACCTTTGTCTGTGATCCAAAGATAATATGATCTATGTAAGCCCCAGTATAGCCAACAAAATTATTGAGGACTTACTCATTGCTTCTTTTGTAGATAAAATAATTTTGCACTGTTAATATTTTTCTATTTCAGTTGTTCCTTCTTGATAGTGTGTTAATCTCAGCCAACCTGAAGAACACCTTTTGTTCCAAGATGACTGATTTGAGATACTGTGCATGTCTGGATCTCAAAAAAAAAAAAAAAAAAAAAAACAACCAAACTTGGAAAACTCTTCTGCTTGCATCAGAAATTAAATGCCTTTTCTTCAGTGAAGTATAGGAACCCACAACTGAACAGCAGAACCAGCTCAGCTGGACACTGTTCTTAGTAGGTACCATGTTACGAAAAGGCTGGTGAAAAGTGATAAATCAGGTCTTTGTACAATGACCTTTCTTTCAGTGAAAATAGAGGTTTGACAAAAATTTAATTTAGAGATTGATCTAACCAAGTGGCTTGGAAGTCTCCCTCTTACCAAACTGGAGAGGGTTATGATATCAGTTCAGGAGGGAACACAAGTATAGAACGTTTTGATAATTCAGGCTTCGTATTAAAGCGAATTAGTAGAAAAACTGGACGAGAAAGTCATGCTCTGGTTGGAAAAGAGGAACCAAATCTCTGCATCCAGTGGTAAATATTATAGAGCTGCCTGGTATTGTTCTCAAGAATGTCAGGATGTCCTGTTTTAGAGCTTTTAAATTTCCTCCTCTGTTTCATTTCTCCTCTGCATCTTAATCATCAAACAGGCCAGTTTTGATATTACCCCATAGATGTAATTTTACTTTTTAAAGTGAAATTGTACCCATTTTTGTATTGAATTGTTCCAAGCAGAATTAAATAAAAAAAACCAACAAATCAGAGCATACAATAAATTACTATCACATAGTGAAAAGAGAAAGTGTGCTTATGTAAAAACTTCAGCTGTTTAACTGAATAAAATTATCTGTTAAAAGAATCACTCCTGTGCAAGCCGCATCCAACCTCAGATTCAGTTCATATAAAAATATATGAATATGCAACTTATTGCAGTGTATAAATTCTGTTATCTTTGTTAACTAGAACTGTTCACAAACTTCCTCCCCTCAGTAGGCAAACAAACAAAAAAAATAATACAAATTCTGAAAATAATTAATTCTTCTTGTACGACCTCCTAAAGTCACTGTGGGGTATTTTTGTGGACTCTTCTTTGGTGGAGTCTTAGATGTTTCTGTGATAAATTTGTTGGGAAAGGCAAGTGACAAGCCCTTCAGTCAAGAAAAAGACCCTATGTTTTGAACATTTATAAGAGGTTTGTAATATACTCCACTTACATAATTAGGCAATATTTTCAATAAAACTTTGATCAACTTACTGAAAGTATTCCTAGATTTACCAAGGTTGCCACATCCTTTGTGGATACTTCTGCACAACTATGTTGCTTTTTTTTTCCCATGGGTAAGTTAACAAGATATTTAAAAATGAAAAAAAAAAAAAAGAGGAAAAAAATAATTAAGAGACATGTGAGCTGTTGCCTCATTGGTGTATTCAAGAGCAGCTTCCTGTTGCTTTATCTGATGAAGCAGTTCTCTTTTCAGAAGCAGACATGGGTTACACTACCGGTGGCATCACAGTGATTCTGCTCCATGGGTGAAACGTCTGCTTAGGTAAGTCTTCAAAATCCAAGAAGTCAGATACAGATGTTATTTCCTGGTAGAGGTTTTGGCCTGGCTCTCTGTTAGTGTGATGTTGACATCCTGCAACAAAAAGAAAGGACACAAAAGGGACTGAACAGATTGCTTTGGGAGGAGTATTTGACTCCCAGCACAAGCAAAACATGAGACAAATGGCAAATGACATCAAACGACTGAATTAGGAAATACATGCCAGCTTGATTTAGTGTTGTAATGGTATTGCCATGATCAGAATACTTGTTGCTTAGGAGAGGGGAAAGGATGGAGAAAGGCAGTATTTGGGAGTGAGTTTTCAGTATTCTGAATTGTCCTGTCTTCACTGCAAAAAAATGCCGCAAGCCCCACAGGTGGTTCCAGTAGCCCTTCTGTTACTGTTCTTTCGTATTTTATGGCACTAATAAGATACTCAGCACTATTTATATGAATATACACAATGCTTAAAACTTAGCAGAAATATAAGCTATGCTAAAAAAGTAGCTTCTTAGAATACCAAGTGTCATGAAAATATTTTGTACAGCATCTTTCTGTATACAGATATGAAAACATGATGCACATAAGCATACAGCAAAATATTACTTGCCTACATCCTAACAAAACATAGCTTTTATTTTTCTATTTGCTCATTTTAACAGAATTTTTATGCTGTATGAAACAGTCATAGAACCATAGAATCATAGTTAGGGTTGGAAAGGACCTTAAGATCATCTAAAGGGGTCCATAAAGTCTATCTCAAAGCTAAAGACTGAGAGCTCTTTTAGACCTGTTGAAGTCTCTACAGAATCTTATGGAGACATTTGAGTGAAATTTAGTGTTGCATGAGAAAGCAAATGCATTTAATATTGCATTTTAAGCAAATCATCCATGTTACAGGAAGGCATGTATCAGATCTCCCAAACTGTGAAGCTTTTCAGAACTGAGTTTTGAGATCTGCTCATGAAGAAAAAAGATCCAGCTGTGAAAGGTCCTTGTGCTTGAGGAAATCAGCTTGGCACTATAACTTTTTTGAGAGCACAAAGCAATATCTACTTTGTTGAGATTGCTTTGAGAGAAAAAATAAATTAAGAAAACCATATGCCCTTCCATCTCATGGCTGATATACAATAGCACCAGTACAGCAGCTGCTGCACTAGTTCACACAGCATTTTTTTCTTCCCCTGAAGCTTACCTAAAAAGCAAAGTACCTGCAAAAACTTAGCACATTATAATGAGTACTGCTTACAGCAATTTGCCCTTTGATGAACTTGAATTTGAAATAAAGGGTGAAATGTTGCAGATGTTTCCAAAATTGCTGGTGTTTATTAGCTTATAAAAGATTATTTATTTTTTTAGTGTCTAATCTTTTCTGTTAATAACACAAAATCGTTGCAGTCTTCTGTCTGTCCCAGTTCCCCAAGCTTTAGTAGACTTCTGTATTCAGAATTATCTGAAAAAAAAAAAAAAAAGACTCTTCCATTCTTCCCTTAGAAAGTTGTTTAGAGATAAGAATATAGAATATCATTTTGTATTTGTGTTTATGAAAGTACAACTTTGTACTTACACTGTTACATTCAAAATGTCATAAATGCAAAGACCGCACGAAGCTCTCTTTGAATCTGAAAAAGATACTGTAAGAATGCATCAATACAAATACAATATGTAATGAGTACTTGCCTCCAAAAACTTTCCCAAGGTTCCTTTGCAGGCTTGTTTGCATACATTACTCAAAGCATAGCATTTGCTACTCCATTTCTCTGAATTTTTGTCTGACTGACTTTTGTCAGAGTTCTTGTACAGCAGGTGTTCTGTGGCAAAATGAGAGGGACAATGATAATCATTGAATAATGTGGCTAAAAGAAAATATTACTGTTGTTTGGTTGGGTTTGTTGGTGTTTTGTTTTGTTTCATGTGAAACAAATCTGATTCTAAAGCCTATAAAATAAGTAACAAGTCTACAGAATTAGTCATAGTGAGTTTGGTACATGAAAGTCAAACCATTAAATTACATATCAATAAACAGAAATTCCTCGATAGTTTTTTTTAGAAAAAAATCCATTAAAAAATAAATCAATAAAAAATAAATCCATTTAAAAATCAGTGGGAAAAATTATCAAACATTGTGTTTTAGGAAAGCTGTAAGCCAATAACATCCTCCTGGGCAAAACCAGCAGGTATGCTCAGCAGCTGAGAGAAAACCTGGTAATGCTTCAAATGTTGCATTCAGGTAAGACAAATCATTTTGCATTGCAGTCATCATATTTCAGTTGTAATTATAAAAGAAAACCTAAGCAAAGAGGTATGAGACAGACCACTTTCCCCTAGTAACTGTAATGAAATGTGTCGTAATTGGGGCAAAACAGTGCTTTCTGCTTTTATATTTCTGTGCAAGAAACTGCTGCATGCTCTGTGGTATAATTCATTTGCTGGTTCTTTAACACACTTCAGTATAGGTCACTGATACGTGCCAGTATGACACACTTCTTGTTACTATTATCATTGAAAGCATGTCGTCATATAAGTAGCATCCATATGTCATCAACGCTGGGACATTACCTGGGGGATTTCAGACAGCCTCCAGGGCTTCATTCCTAGACACTGTTGATGATACTGGTTAAAGATAAAATTAAAGCCACTGGCTACAGTGACCTGTGAAAAATGGACAGAAAAAAATTGCCGAGGTGGCAAATTCCATGTGGTCCCAACTCTGAATCCCATCTTCAGCATCCTGGCCTGCCATTAGCTGATTATATCTTAAGACACTGGTTCCTTAATGCAGATGGCAACAGACCAAAGCAAAGTCTTGTCTCAAAAAAAAAGGGGATTTATTCAGACAAGTCCAATATGAGGACAAGTTTGCACCTTACAATCAGTAAGATCAACAGACACAACTTCTAGAAGCAATGAGGTAAAAAGAGAAAGCTGAAGGAAAAATGTGGGTGTTATCAAGAAATTGGCATGCTGGGCTGTGAGTACAAATGAAAGAGCTGGTAAAGCTAACTGTGAGAGAAGCAATTGTGAGTAACATGGAGACAAGTTGGGATCTTATAAGGATGATGAGTCTGTAATGTAACAACTCGACTAACAATGGAGAAAGAGGTTGTGGGGGAGGGAGAAGGAATTCCAGTTTCTCAGTCACACGACTAGTAGACACTGCCTCATACATTTGCTACATTACACACATGCTTCTGAAGGCATGTTTCCCTCTTAGACATGAAGAGACCTGTCATAGGAAAAGAGATGCTAAAATGTGATTAGAAGAAGAGGTAGGTATTCTATCTTTTACTCATCTGGTCAGTCTGCATATGTTTGCTTTGCTTTTGGTGAGAAGTGGGTCAGCAAAACCCTGGGATCCAATTTGTAGAGCTAGATTTTTGATTCATGATACTTATCTATACTGGTAAGCTTACAATGCCCTATTTACTGTGTGGTTTTACTAAACCACACTGAAAAGCAGACATCTGGAGTTTTAACTAGTTATCATGTAAGTAAAGCTGGCCAGTGGACCAGATTGGCAAGTCCTTCTCAAGAATTTTCCCTGTCTTTCAAGCATGTGAATGTATTTAGCTGTAACTGTGAAGTTAGCCAACTTGATCAAATAAAGCAGTGGCTGGTAACATTAAATATGTGCTTTCTGACTAGTTCTGTCATTGCTCCTTTTTTTCTGAATGCACATTGAAGTGTTTTTTTTTCTGGAAAAGGGATCCATATAATAATCTTTCAACAGAGGCAATAAACCTATTTGGGTTTCTCTGATAAACACACAGACCTACACACACGCATACACACATGCATCAAACCAATAATAGGCAGAATTAATTTGCCTGCTACATGGGAAGATCCCTGCACCCAATTTTTCTTCAGCCTGTGCTGTTTCCTATGTGGGAACACTTGTAGGTAGTGCTGTCTTGCAACCTACTTGTTCTGCCACTTTTTCACCTGCTCTGCTGGCAGTCTAGGTTCAAACCACAGGTAAGTTATCACAGGCAGTCTCTGAAGCAGTATTTTTGTCAGTAGAACTGAACTACAACAAATGTTCCCCATTCTCGAATTCCCTTAACAGTTAGATCTTTGGAGAGCAGAATTACTGAGCGTCAGAGCTGTGATACAATCAGTGGGTACCAGCTGTCTCATAGTTATGGTTGTTGTCCTGGGTTCAGCAGTAGCAGTCATGTTTCTCCTTCTTGGTAGCTGGTGCAGTGCAGTGTTTTGACTTTCGGCTCGGGAACAGAGCTGATAACAATGATGTTTTGGTTTGGCCAAGGACTTTGTGAGCCTCATGCTCTGCCAGGGAGGAGGGGAAGCCGGGAGGAAGCAGAGACAGGACACCTGACCCAAACTGACCAAAGAGGTATTCCATACCACAGCACGTCATGCCCAGGATGTAACTGGGAGTTAGCCAGAAGGGCTGGGAGACTGCAGGGTTGGAGGAGGTAGGGGTCAGAGCTTGGTCGGACTGGGGGTGTGAGTTATCGGTTGGCTGGTGCTGAGGTGGTGTATTCTCTTCCCTTGTTATTTCCTTTATCATTGTTATTATTGGTGGTAGCAGTAGTGATTTGTGTTATACCTTAGTTACTAAACTGTTCTTATCTCAACCTGTGGGAGCTGCATTCTTTTCGATTCTCCTCTCTGTCCCTCTGGGAGCAGGGGGAGGGCAAGAAGGGGGGGAAGTGAGTGAACGAGTTACCTGACGGGGTTTAAACCACAACAGTTTTGGCGCCCAACGTGGGGCACGAAGGGTTGAGATAACGACAGATCTGGCCAGATTAATGGTCACTCATCACAATGCTGATTTATTGGCTCTCAGAGTTGTTCTCGATCTCACAGCTTCAGAATGTAGTACATTAGAGCCGGTATTTGCTGTGTTAGTGTTTATCAAGTGTGGGGCCTGGGCTAAGGTTCTTGTCTCACTGTGCTTTATGGCAATGGCTTGTAATACGGGTGGGCTCCAGCAGCAGGGCGGGACGGACGTGGCCTTGTACCTGGCCTTGTACCTGGCCGTCCGGCTGCTCTTCACCGTCCTGGCCCTCACCCTACTCTCCATCTTCGTGAGGCCGCGGGGAGCCGAGAGGGAGCGGCCCCGGGAGCCGGCGGCAGCCGAACCGGCCCGGGAGAGCGGCCCCGGGGAGCAAGCGGCGGCGGGAGCGGGGCCGGAGGCCGCGAAGGGACGGCTGCCGGTGGAGGAGGTCGGGGCGGTCGAGGAGAGGAAGGAGGCGGCTGCAGAGCAGCGGGAGAAGGCGGCGGAGGAGCCGAGCCCCGCGGAAGAGCCGAGCCATGCGGCCGAGCCCAGCCCCGCGACGGCCGAGAGCATTTCCCGGAAGCCGCCTGCCGAGCCCCCGGAGGATGCAGGAGACCACGTAGCATTTCCCAGCAAGGCAGAGGGGGAGGAGCTCGACTCGGGAAAAGAGAAGCTGGCGGTGGGAGAGCCGGCAAGCACAGCAGCTACACCAGCCCCAGTGACAAGTACAGCAGCTACACCAGCCGCAGTGACAAGTACAGCAGCATCAACTGAGAGTTCTGAAGGTTTTGAGTGGCCTTTGGGTGTCCTTGGGACCTGCCTGCTGATTGTGATGGGGATCAGCATGTTGGCACACACACAGACTGTGTTCTACCCACAACCATTTTGTCTGATCTCAAAAGTTAAGCAGAGTCAGGTTTGGGTCTTGTCTGGGGTTAGACGACGATATAGGGGGACCAAGAGGTTTTCTCCAAGTCTGGACAGTCATGAGTGACAAGGTGTGTGGGACAGTATGGGCAAGTATCTAGTCCACTGGGCCCCTCCAGTGCTTTGGAAGCGTCGGAGATGGAAGGCAGCTGTATGGAGTCCCCAGCAACAAGCTGCAGAAACTGCTGAAGGGGACAGTGAATTATTTTGAGCCTGGTGGGCCCTTGGCACTTCAGGCGATCAGGGTAGAGATGCAACATAGAGATGGACTCATGATCGAGGGGTGGACTTAGCAATGGACACTATTGCCCAGGTTATTCACAAGTGTGAACACTGCACACAGTCTCTCCTGCTCTGGAAGACTGTTACAAGAGAGGGAGCCTGGCATCATGGACTAGATGGATTCAGCAGCTTTATAGGGACTGGTCCATGCACTAAGATAAGAGTGATGGTATATTAAAAATGTGGGATCTGAGCATGACGTGAATGGTATGGAATAAGGGGTGGATAATGTCCTGGGTTCAGCAGTAGCAGTCATGTTTCTCCTTCTTGGTAGCTGGTGCAGTGCTGTGTTTTGACTTTCGGCCTGGGAACAGAACTGATAACATTGTTTTGGTTTGGCCAAGGACTTTGTGAGCCTCATGCTCTGCCAGGGAGGAGGGGAAGCCGGGAGGAAGCAGAGACAGGACACCTGACCCAAACTGACCAAAGAGGTATTCCATACCACAGCACGTCATGCCCAGGATGTAACTGGGAGTTAGCCGGAAGGGCTGGGAGACTGCAGGGTTGGAGGAGGTATGGGTCGGTGCTTGGTTGGGCCTGGGGGGTGAGTTATCGGTTGGCTGGTGGTGAGGTGTTGTATTCTCTTCCCTTGTTATTTCCTTTATCATTATTATTATTGGTGGTAGCAGTAGTGATTTGTGTTATACCTTAGTTACTAAACTGTTCTTATCTCAACCCGTGGGAGTTGCATTCTTTTCGATTCTCCTCTCCGTCCCTCCAGGAGCAGGGGGAGGGCAAGAAGGGGGGGAAGTGAGTGAACGAGTTGCCTGACTGGGTTTAAACCATGACAGTTGTACACCCTTTCTTTTTTAAAGGTCAGCTTTGTTGACTGCTTCTAAGGCTAATGCACACAATTCCTCCAGCCCCACTGCTTTAGTCAGGGCTGCCATTCAACTGATATTTACATGTTGAAACTCTCAACACCACAGCCCTGGCAGTGGCTCAGATAACCTTAATTGCTGATGGTTTGGTAAACTCATACATGGCAACTGCAATTTTTACAGGAAAGAAGTGTAAATGAAAACTTGCACTCAGAAGGTCTCCACCTCATATGAGCCTGAGTGACACACCAACGGATTCTCCTCTGCATGCAGGAACCCAGTAGCTTGACAGGTTTCACTTGAGGGTTTCTGGAACATGGAGTAAGCTTTGCTAGAATAGCACAGTTGATGGCAAGTTCTTGGGGGATCACATACAAAGGAGGAGAGGGGAGCAGGGAAGCATGAGGATGCAACAAGATAAGAGAGGGATTTGCACACAAGCCACACGTTCTCCTCTGAGCAGATCCCAACATCTAGTGGTACCTGAATCTGTGTCATTCTATCCTTGTCTCTGCATTGACTTACAGGAGAAGATGTTGGGGAGAGGGACCTGGGGGTCCTAGTGGACGACAGGATGACCATGAGCCAACACTGTGCCCTTGTGGCTAAGAAGGCCAATGGCATCCTGGGATGTATTAGAAGGGGGGTGGTTAGTAGGTCAAGAGAGGTTCTCCCTCCCCTCTACTCTGCCCTGGTGAGACCCCATCTGGAATATTGTGTTCAGTTCTGGGCCCCTCAGTTCAAGAAGGACAGGGACCTGCTGGAGAGAGTCCAGCGCAGGGCAACGAAGATGATTAAGGGAGTGGAGCATCTCCCTTATGAGGAAAGACTGAGGGAGCTGAGTCTCTATAGTTTGGAGAAGAGGAGACTGAGGGGTGACCTTATAAGTGTATATAAATATATAAAGGGGGAGTGTCACGAGGATGGAGCCAGGCTCTACTCAGTGGCAAACAATGACAGGACAAGGGGTAATGGGTACAAACTGGAACACAAGAGGTTCCATTTAAACTTGAGAAGAAACTTCTTCTCAGTGAGGGTGACGGAACACTGGAACAGGCTGCCCAGGGAGGTTGCGGAGTCTCCTTCCCTGGAGACATTCAAAACCCGCCTGGACACATTCCTGTGTAACATTATCTAGGTGTTCCTGCTCCGGCAGGGGGATTGGACTAGATGATCTTTCAAGGTCCCTTCCAATCTCTAGCATACTGTGATACTGTGATACTGTGATGTTAGTTGGGATAAGAAATCTGCCATATTTGTTTGGCCAAAACCATGTTCTGCTCATCAGAATTGTATTTTATTTGTGGTGCACTTTTTGATCTCTTTCAACTGTCACGCAGGAGAGACCTGGAATTGCAGGACCCTACCCCTCTGGAAGTGTCTTTACTCATTCTGCTTCTGCTATAGACGCTTGAATCTAACCTTGATCACTTTAGATATTTGGGTTCCCCTTACTATTTACTCCTAACTAGAAGTGTTTAAAAACCTCATACAACAGTTTCTTTCTTCTAAAAAAGATACCCTCCAAGAAGCCCATTAAAAAAAAAAAAATTGTTGTTATAGCTGATCTTTTTCCTTTTTGGTAACAGAAGGCTGGAATCTTACCAACCAGATCCTGAAGAACTAATAAACAGATGACCACCTGTCAGACTACAGAGGGGTTTTTATTGCATCCAGGCTGGAATTAGCCCAAAGATACTACTCAGAGTGGACAATGAACAGCACTGCTGAGTGCCATGATGATCACACCCTGGATAAGTATTTATTTCCACTTGTGTACAGCGTTGTGATGATCATCAGTATTCCTATCAACTGCATAAGCCTCTATGCATCTTGCATTCAGGTGAGGAAGAAGAATGAGTTAGCAGTCTACATCTTCAGCCTATCCGTGGCTGACCTTTTGTACTCTCTAATTCTGCCTATGTGGATTGATTATGCCTGGAATGGAGATAACTGGAGACTCTCTGCCTTGCTTTGTCAGATTTCTGCCTTCCTTATGTATATGAATTTCTACACTGGTACTGCGTTCCTTGCTTGCATCTCTGTTGACAGGTATCTGGCATTAGTTCACCCCCTGAAGCTCCAGCACTTGCGCACAAGAAGATTTTCATTGATTGTCAGCATAATTGTTTGGCTTCTGGAAAGCACCTTCAATTCAGTCATATTGGTATACAAAGAAGTGTTCCATGACCCTTGCAATTTCACTAATCATACATTATGCTATGACAAATACCCCCTGGAATGGTGGCAGGCACAGATAAATTTATTCCGGATATGCTCAGGGTACCTGCTCCCTTTGGTAGTCATTGTGTTTTGCTACCATAAAATCTACCAAGTAGTAAGGTGTAATCAAGCCACAATAGATGAAGAAAAGAAAAAAGTAAGGAAACTTATTCTAAATATCACAGTTACTTTTGTTGTTTGCTTTACTCCTTATCATGTTATGTTGTTTATTCGCAGCATCAAAGAACCTTACACCAGTGACCCACAGCTTTTGCAGTTGATGTATAAGGTTTACAGAGTCACACAGGCCTTAACAAGTTTGAATTGCATTGCTGATCCCATTCTTTACTGCTTTGTGAGTGAAACTGCACGAACAGACATACTGAACTTGCTCAGGTGTTGCTTGTGCCTACAAAAGCGTGAGGGAGAGCAAGTGAAAGATCATGCCCTGTGCAGTTCTGCTATAAAGAGCAGTGAACTGATCATCTCCAGAACTTTCTGTGAAACGGAGTCTGTCAAAAATTCCTGAACAAGAAAATTTGCATGATGTAAATAGCAAAGAAAGAAAAATTCTCCCCCAGTTTCTACCTAGGAAATACTCCAAAAATCACTGACACTAATCTAAGTGAAACCAATAGCTGGAGCTGATAAGAACTTGTTATAGTGGCAATGAAATAAATGCAGCATCAACACTTATCTTTAAATCAGACCCGGCACATAAATCCATGTTGACAAACAAATGCACAGTCAAGATGACCATGACACACTGATAAAATTACTGAGGATCTCTCACAAAAATACTTCCTGTCACAGCTTGCTAGCTAGCCCACATGCTGGGCATACACATACTGAGCTGGAGGAAGCTGAAGTCCTCTTAACCTAGTAATTTGGTTTCAAGTTTTAGTTGAAATCTAAGCTTAGCTGGGAAGGAGTCCCAAAAGGGATTTTATTTATTTATTTTTTTTAATCAGCACTGTGATAGAAGTGAATAAAGCACACACACATGAAAATCATTCTAATGATTGATCAAAGAGCATACAGAGGTAGGATGGTAAATGTTCTCTCTAATGTCATGCTGTGATTTATGCTGCTATGGTGGTTCCTGTGTTTCAGTAATGACTTGAGTTCTCCTTCAGCATACCCCTGAGATTAGCCATTTCTTAAAATTGTTTACCTCATGCGGACAGGTAGTTACCTGCTCTTAAGCTTTTCAGCTTTTGTTTTCTTTGGAAAATATATGTTCTAATGTATAACCATATGTCATGTAGTTTCATTACAATATCAATACCAAGTTTCAGACAGTTGAGTATTCATTACTTCAAGTTCCTATATAGAACCAAATTTTAGACACCAGTCTTTTAACTCAGATTAAATTTTTGCCAATATATTCAGGAAGGAAAGAGAAAGATTGAAAAGATTGAAGAGAAAGACTGAAAAATTTCACATCTACACAACATAAAGGATCAGTCTTTAACCTTGCTTATTATGACTGAAATCTAGAGTGTGATTATGTTTATAGAGTCAGTAGATCAAGAAGGTTTATATCCATTTGCATAACTGTACATGGAAGCCTTGGCTGGACAATCCTGGGCTTTCAGTCTGCCAGTTCTGAAAAATCAGACACAAACCAACAAGCAATACTGACAAACCAGCAAAGCACATGAATGTACCAACAAACATTAAGAGTGCGGCTAAAGTACGCACATTTTTAAAAGTTTGAAGTTGGAACAAATAAAATTACAGCTGTCAATTCAGGGGCCTGTTAGTTGCACAGGCCCCTGCAACTGCTGTGGGGTTCCCTGGTAGCAGCAGGCACTGAACCCTCTGAAAAGAGTTAAAATACCATGGAAAGTCTGCTTTCTCTCTTCTCACAACCTTTTCACTTTTGTTCAGCTGCCAGGAAGAATGTTTGGTTATGGCGGTTGCCCATTTTCATAGGGAAATTTTTTTTTCTTAAAAAAGGCCTCCTGTAGCAAGTCCATGTAGCTGAAAGAGTGTGAGGATTTTGACAAGCACTTTTTTCAGTACACTTCTAGGTCTGACATTATACTTGGAGGCTAAGCATAAGGTGGTCACAAGCAATATGGAAATTCTTATGAGAAGATCCCTCTGTGTGTAAATCATAAATTTCTCTATTACAAAGAGCCACTTTCATTGTTTTCATGAGTTCATGTTTGTATCTATTTATACTTTTGATTAATTTCACATTCTGCAAAGGGACCTTGAGAGGCTGAGGAGGCTGGGCTTGTTCAGCCTGGAGAAGACTTTGTGGACCTAGTGGCAGCCTTGCAATACCTGCAGGGAGGGTATTGAGAAGAAGGAACCAATCTTTTCAGAAGAGTGCATAGCAGGAGGACGATAAATCATGTGCGTAACTTGAGGCAAGAAGGGTAAGAGTTGATATAAGGAAAAACTTTTGAACTACAGTGACTGACAAGCAGTGGAGCAGGTTGCACCATGATGTTCTACATGCTCCATCCTGACAGATTTTCTAGACTGAGCTGAACAAAGCCCTGAGCAACACAGTCTGACCTCATAGCTGACCTTCTTTGAGCACAAGGTTGGACTAGAGACTTCCTGAAGTGCCCTCCAACATGAGTTGTCATCTGATCCTATGAACTGTGTATATCAGTATTCTGGCTGTTGATGCATCTCTAAAAAACTATGTTCCCTTCTTTTCTTTGTTTCCATTTGCTGGATTTTGTTTTGATGTGAGGGTTTTTTTTTCCTGTAATACTTTCTTGTATGTTATGAAGGAAAAAGTGCAAGCAGCAGTGCAAGTTACTTCACCACAGATTTCCTGTGCTTATTATCTATGTATTTTGCAACACAGTATGAAATTTCACTGCAGCACTTGAAAAAAAAAAAAATAAAAAAAAAAAAAAAAGCAGAACCAAGCTTCACTGTAACTCCATGGAAAAAATAACTCAGTGGTTCATTTCTAGACCTTCCAGAAGCCAAAAAGGTTGGAAAGCTAATTCTATTGAGGCTTTTTATTTATTTTGAATAAAGAATAATGCAAACTAAAACTAAGTAACAAAACTGAGCCAATTTTTGTCTTCTCTGCAAGGGACAGGGAGCCAGGCAGGCTGGGCAGCACCCTGAGAAGCCACAGAGTCACACAGCACACAGAGCAGATCTATCCATGGTAACCAGCATTGGCCAACAGCACTATGATCACCAGGCAAATCTGTAATAACAAGGCAGGTCTGAGGTCAATCTGGGAGGACATGTCAGGAAGGCATGGTCAGGGTCAGCAGAGCACAAGGCTGGTCTTGGCTGTGAGCCATGTGAGCCCTGATATCTGCACAGGCAGCTAAACCCTAAAGAGGCAGAAGAGACCACAGACTCTGTGGTAAACATAGGGCCCTCACCCTGTGAAAAGAGCTTAATTTCCACAAAATTTATACGTTTTAATATTCCACGAATGCTTGTGAAAGCCATAGCTTGGACCAGTTTACTTCAGTCTGTGTGGATATTTTTCATAGCATTATTTCCTTTAGTACCTCCCTGCATTGCTGAAAATTCACATCAAGGTAAAGGAAGATGATGATAATGAAGGCCTATAGGCTGGGCTTCCTGAAAAACCTCAGGTAAGTTCAGGGTCCTGTCACTTTATGATAGCAAAATGTAGGTACCTAATCGCTTAGATTGTTCTGAGATGTTCTGAAGTGTTCAAATCATAGTCCTCTGGAGAAAAGAGGAAACTTAGATGTAAAGACTATAGTGTCCTATATTTCAATCATTTGTGTGTTTACCTCGTTATTCTTACATACCTAATAATGTACACTTTTTTCAGTCCCTCTCTGAATTTGTTTGTTCCAGCTGGACCAAACATCCTGCCATGTTAAAAAGAACATCTGTCTTCTTTTTAACTTTTCAGGTTACCAGACAGGCACTTTTCACTATACAGAAATGGCTTCATCCAGGCTCCAGTCCACAATGTGTATTATTGGTTTTGAATGTTCCACTTAGAATTCCTGATGGCTCTGCAGGGAAAAAAACAGGTGCAAATCCACAGGAACACTTCCCAAAGCAAGGACTTTCCTTACAGAGACAAGTTTATAAAATCCAAATATTTCTTTATTGGCAAGAAGAAATACATGCATTTAAATTCCACTTTTCTCACAGACAATGCCTAAAAGCATTGATGTATGTATGCCTTTGGTGAGTCACTGTATTTCCTATCTCAGTTCCTGATCTATACAATAAGAATATGGATAATTAAAAGGGCTGTGATGGTGATTTAGTTAATATCCACAGCATATGAAATGTCAGTGCCAAATTGTATTGTTGTCAGCATAATAAAGGAGAGGTTAATTTATGTCAATAATTCCCTTAAAGCAGAATCCATCTGCCATAAATGCAGCAGAGCTATAGCTTAGCTTGTAAGTTGGGAGTTTTTCAGTGAACAGTGATGACCTAGCAGGTGCAATTTCAGACTTCATTTAATATGTCTTTCCCAGAATCTTAGCCACAACCTGCATCAGTGCCATCATGATGCATATCATTATTCTTTTCTGATGTAGCTACATATCAGCTTTGCTTTTTTAATGTCATTGGGGTCATGACTCACATGGTTGTAGGCTGACAGAGACTCTTGCCTACCCTTTTCCTTTTTTTTTTGAGTCTCTAACACTTCTAACTTCAGAGCCCCTAAGATGAAGGGAAGTGTGAATTTGAGTTATATTCCACTTCCTGTTTCCATTCACAGAGAATGACGCTACTAAAATTATTCTGGTAAGTATAGTGACAATATAATAGCGACAATTTAATACCAGTAAAGGGAGCATAAGGGCATATTTTAGACACTCATATTACTTAAGAGTTTCATCACTGTCATCATCAGTCTAGATCTCTATTCTAAGGTGGTAAAGGAACAAACTGTTCATTTTTTCCCATGCCTCCACACAGCACAGTGAGAACATGGGTAGGTTAGGGTACTTGGGACCAGCATGATCACAATTGCAGAAGATCTGCTTGCAACAGACCAAGCTCAGCAGGAGCCAGGGGCAGCTGCTGCACCTACAGGCCAGTGCTGCCAATTGCCAGGGCATGAGACAGCAGCTCTTCATGGTCCCAGAGCCCAGCAAGATGGCAGCTTGCCCCTACCTAAAGCTGTCTGTTCCACTGCACCTGCAGGGACCCCAGCGGCACTGATCCAAGGCAGCATCTGAGAAGTGATGCTCTGGTGCTTATAAGGGGAAAGAGAATGAAACACCTTGTGCATCACATAAAGGTTTTTCTTTTACTGCTGCACCACAATGGCCATGTTACGGATAAACTGCAAAGCCTAAGCTGGCATACAGAATTTTTGGCTGCTCAGCAATGAATTTAAAGTAACCAACCTTGTAATATCCTAGAAAGCAATAAAGTCTGTTCTGGACTAGGGCCTTAGGAAACAAACTAAAAACAACCAAAAAAAAACCAAAACAACCCAAACAGAAAACAGAAAAGGGTGTATCAAATGAAATGTAAAGCCTGATCCAGGTGAATTTCAAAGACACTGCCTAAGACACCATGAGATCCTCTTCTGTGCCAACACAAAGGCACTAACAGCAGGGTATATCATCTACAGTCTCTATCCAGCCTGTGTACAGCAGAGCAAGAATGCATGTCCCATAGCATCTCTCACTGAACATCAGAGTGTACATGTATATCCTAATCACATCACTGATGGGGAATGGGAATGCTAAAACAGTGGAGGTGTGAAACACCTGTTAAAAAAAAAAAAAAAGGTGGGAAAATAGGTCCATTCCTTTTTTGTTCTGTTTCTAAAATTAACTTTGACTATTTTTGTGACTATGTGGCACATTGCTTTTCAGATGAGATACTGGAGTTAATTTACCATAGACAATAACTTTCACAAGCTTTTCCCAAGAGCTGGTCCTAATATCACCAAATCTGTGCTGTATTCCTTCCCAGCTGAAGCTTTGATTTTGATTTCTTGTGGAAACTCAACCTTGTCATTTCTCACTGTTTAAATGCTTCTTCCCTTTTAACATCAGATGTGCAAAGTAATGTCTGCTTTTCCAACCCCGAATGAAGAACTACACCCAGGAGCAATCTTGTTTCAAATTTCTTTGTGTCTTGATCCCAGCCCTATCTTAGAATTATACTGTGCTACTGGAAAAAATTGTTGCCTCAGTTGCCTTCACCTGATAGCTGGTACTGTAGCAGATGTTATGGCAAGTACTAAATCCAGAAAGCTACAGTTAAAGGGGAGGTTCATAAATTGTCTTCTGTTTCACATACTTAATTACACATGTGAGGAAACGCTGTAAGGAAAATGCAGTTAGTTCATCCTGTAAATGCAGCATGGGCAGAATCCCTCAGGCTCACATCCTTAAATGGAATGAACTGATGAGACTGAGGCATGACTGATGAGATTGTCTCTTCTGGGTTGCA